CTTGGACTCATAATTTGAATCTCTGGTGTTAATTGATGTCATAGTTTTCTAAATGCATCATATTTTAAGGATTTCAAATTACTATCTTCTTCCAGACCAGCCAGAAAACCTCTATACACTGATTTATAACTCATTTCAGCTGGTAAAAAGATAACTGACTGAGTTATTCTATTGACACTCCTTCCTGGACTTGGTAATCCATGGACTTCAGCATAATTTTCTAGAAAATTTTTTACCACTTCAGCAACACTTTTGTCAATCACCATCTTTGTTTTCCATTTAGGCATCCTTTTAATATTACCATGAACTCTTGTTAAAAGACCATGTTTTATCAGATGATTTCTGATGTTTTCAAAATAAGTTCTACCAATTCCCAACATATTGAAATAAGTTTCTTGACAAAGAGGTATATTGTGATCCCAGTGATAAAAAGTTCTTTTATTAGATCTGGTTTTCTTTTTAAGGCGTCTACTGGTGCTTATTGATCCACCATCCATTGCTTTAATCTGTGCCATTAAAAATATGTCTTGTTCTATTTTAGAAAGAGCTTGAAAGGACTCCCTTAATTCTGCAAATTCTTCCTTAGGAATTCTTGAAGAACAACTACAACCACAACCACAACCTTTTTCTAAAAAATCAATTGCTTTTTGATATTCATTAGAACCATTATATTTATTATTACTTTTCATATACACCTATCCCTATATATATAATTTTATGTTCACTTTGTATGTTTTTCTAGGATTGTTTAATAATTTAGCATTAAAAATGGATGAAAAATCTGTCCAGTTTATCATGAAATGCTTGTCAACCTTGACTAAAGAAATACAAATAAGGAAATTGTTTGCATAAAAAACTACGAACCTTTCTTATATATATGTATAATAATAAAAATAATATTAGCTTTAGATTTACTTTTCATTTTTGAATGAATTTAAAAAAGGAAAAGAAATGAGAACATCATAATATGTACATATGTACATGCTGTGATCCATTTATTATGTGTCAAAAAATTAACGGGATTTGAATTTGACGTTAATTCGCTAATTGAAAACACTAATCCCGGAGCAATCTTTTTTTATTAATATCTGTATTCGTGTTACATTCCGTATATATTTATTAAATTTATTTTGATATTTCGCATTATTTATTTGGAAGGAATTAATGGCAATAATCCCAAATGGGATAATTCATTCAGACTGGGATATTAATTAATTAAACATGTATATAAGGAACGAGAATTCGCTGTACTTTAAAAGTGACTTTGTAATAAGTTAACTTAATAGTGTGTTTTCGTGTAATTGATAGTGTATCATTTTTGATTTAATAAAATCTATTTGAATCTACCAAAGCAAATAGACAAAGATAAATTTATTATTTATTATTATCTATCAAAAAAAGAAATAAAGAAACTTTAAACTATATAAACATGATTGATTTTGAGATTGACATCAAAAAAATTTGCAACATTAAAAATCATTAAACTTTATACATTTAATAATATTATTTTCTTTAAAAACAATGCTGTTTAAATTGACTACTGCTTGTGTGATCAATTCATGTTTTTTGATTTTCGTAACAATGCATGGTTTCTATTCATAATACATTTTATTCGCTTTATTCGCTTTATTCGTTTAATTCGTTTAATTCGTTTTTATCATTTTATTCGTTTTATTCGTTTTATTTGCTTTATTCTTTATTCGCTTTATTCGCTTTTATTCGTTTTATTCGTTTTATTCGTTTTAGTTCGTTTTATTCGTTTTATTCGTTTTATTCGTTTTAATTCGTTTTTATTGGTTTTATTGGTTTTATTGGTTTTATTGGTTTGGTTAAGAATGTCAAGTAGAAGGAGGAAAAATAACTTGAAAAACTTGAAAAACAAAATAATTGATAATTGTAATTATTGAAATTGGAAGATAATAGAAAGGGGTGAACGAGGTAAGGGTAAAAAATATACCTGATATTTAATATAATTAACAAAGAAAGTATAAATAAGGAATTAGTGGCTAATATTATTTATTAATTTATAAATTCCACCTAAATTGAAAGAATTAAATTATTTTTTTCGTATGAAAAAAACTGGATTTGATGTATTTAAATGCATTACATTATTATTATTACGGGGTATGCTGCAAGTGAACATTATGTATTAATATGTCGCATAAAGATTTCAGGGATCGTACTAATACTAATTGTACTACGACCTACACTATGTATTAATAAATGATAATCATGCAAAAATCAACCGCAATTGCCAATTTTTAATTCCTAAATATGTTGCTGCGGTTTTGCATATGGAGGCATATTAGCATGTGGACATTCATTTGTTCCACAAAATCATAAAATGTTGCATAGTAAAAATGATTTGTAACGCGTTTTTTAAAAAGACTTAACCCAAGTTTGCTAAAGTATTGATTTCTGATGTAGATGTAGCAGTATTTGACATATATAAAGCCATTTGATTTTTGACTGAACATGATGGTAACAGAGAATCATCACTTTCATTTTAGACTTATTTCTGTAGAGCAATTTTTGAAAAAAGGTTCATACTTTGATACAGCATATCAAAAAGGCCTTTTAATGAAGGATCTTTTTCTTCAACTATTTTTATGAATTCATCAGGATCATTAATAATTCCATTTTTTCATGATGTTGACACTTGTATAAAACAAATAATAGTAATAAAATTAATATTTAATCACGTTTAATGTGTTGACTTGATGGTCTAATAATCTTTTCTAATTCTACTTTTAATTTGATTTGTAACTAAATTTAGTATTTGAATTGGTTTTCTTATTCTATATTATATCTATCATATGCAATACAAGAATTATAGCATTTAGAACATCTTTCACTTATATTTAACTCATAATTCCCCATTAGTTGAGCCTTTCTTTTTCTATATTGCAAATGGAACAAAAACCAACAGGCATTTTAGTAATTAAAAATTGATGGTGAGACCCAATTCTTTACCAATTCTTGATAGTAAAATGATAATTTATAGGCACAAACATTCCAGATATCAAATTCATATTATGAGATTGTGTCTGAAATTTAATATTTTTATTTATGACAATACTGTTAATACAATAATACAATTTCTAACAATAATTTCTGCAAATGTATATTTATGCTTTACTCTCAAAACTATCTTTCACCAGCATTAAACAATTCCTTGCTAAACAATATTTTCTTTAGATTTCACATTATATCCTGATCATGTTTCTTGGCAGGTGCCTCTTTGGCTGTTAATCCTATATTAATATTTTTTTGTTGATCATTTAATATGAAATTTCCTCCGTGTTTTATAATAAATTGATCGGCGTTTCTGATTCATCAATCTTTTAGTAATGTTTCACATGATACAGGTCTTGCATTCAAAATATCTGAAGGAGTAAGACCTGACTTCTCGATTAATACCCCTACCGATGTATGGATGATGATACAGATAAACGTCCAACTGCTAGAGAAATAGCAAATATTTTTTTAACAAGAAAATTTGCCGTGTTACTTCTGTCTTTTTCTAAATTCCGTAATTTTTGTCAATTTTGCAAATTAATTTCTTTTTGTGTCAAGTTCTGTTTGGTCGTACGGCAAATATAATAATAAGAGTTCTTTGCAATTGCAATGAACTTCGCTCCCTCAAAAAATTTTTTTTCATTCGAAAAAAGGTTCATTATATAGTCGAATAAAAAAAATATGTTGATTGTTGATTGAATATTATCAAACAGAATCTATTTTTTAAAACAATAAACGATATCTTTTAAATTATGGCTAAAATTTATGATTGATAATTTTTTTGATACAGATAATGTTATATGACAGCGAGAAGTTACTATTAAGTATTAAAGCGTGAGTTCGTTGGTAAGCTGTTTGAACACGACATCTGCAATGGAACGATAGGTGTGATCACCAAAGTTATAGATGATGATAATGTAGAAATTACTTTTCCAACTAATGGTAGCCAGGTGTATATTAAAAATTTTACGCGTAGGATGTGCACAAAATCTAATTAATAAATAAGGGTATTCGTAATAATAAAGTATTCGAGTATATAAGAGTATTTGTGATTATTATGTGTATTCGTAACTATTACAAATATTCGAATATGGCTAGCTAGAGTCATCCTATCTTAAAAAATAAACTTTTATCTTTCTAATATCATAACTTTATTACCACTAATACTTGTTGTCAAACTTTTGATCTTTCAAGTATTTTTGTACGAACATTGCCATTATCAGCTACTATAGCATAAAATGTAGTGCATTGTGATCTTTATTATTATTATTATTTCATCTACACTTCTTGTGCAATCAGATTTCTCTCTTCATCCCAAGGTAAAAATATCTTGCAACGAAGTATTAAATTTGGCAGGAAATGAGTTTTATCTTTTCTTTTAAATATCGTCATTTCTAAATAACTATCATGAATAAGCTTGTCAAATTACCCGCAACTTTACATATTACACAAAAACTATACATAGTGTTGTAACATAATACGTACGATACAGTTAGACCAACTTTCTATTTACATTGTCTCACTTTTAAAAATATTACGATCGGACATCTTTAAAAAATGACAAACATAACTTACATGTAGCTTGGTAATGTCCATTACCAAGATGGTTACCGCGTGTAAAATATTCCCAGATATCACTATATTTTGGATTAAGTTTGTTTTTGTTATCAGTAGCAAAATTCATCTTTAATTATTATAAGAAAAATATGATTTTTTACTTGAATGTAAGATTACATAAATGTTTATAATAATAACAAATATTACGACATTGCAGTTAGCTGCAACACCGTGATACCATAATTTATTTTACATTACAGATGTCAACTCCAATCATAAAATTAAAATACCTTGTGCACCAATAGTTAATTGAGTAACCATTCCGATGATTATGACTATGACGTTATTATTAAGAATTTTCAGGTCATTTGATATAGTTTGCTTTTTTGGTGATCCATCTTCTTCATTATCAAAACTAATATTAAAACTTCAGTGGTATTATTAATATTATGCACAACTTCTGATGTTCGGTTGGATTCTTCTTTGGTGCCGTCGTTATATTTTTTTTTTTAAAAAAAAGTAAATATCAACAGTATTTGAATAAATCATCAATACAACGTTTATTTTATTATAAAAAATCAATCTTTTTATTTATTAATATCAATAATGTTAATAATCTATTAACATTAATTTATCAGATTATTGTGTTTTAAAATATTGAGGATTTTTCTCAAAGAATTCTTCGACTTTAGTATCAGGAGCACCAATTATATGTTGTAAATCATCGGAAACCTTACTATCTTTGCCGGTTCTGATCCAATCCAATAAATCCAATAATGTATCACAATAGTAACGATTAATTAATTCTTTGGTTGGAGGATAACTATCGCACTCGTTCTTTATATTATTACTAATTTGTAACTGTTGTTTGCCGACAACTAAAGAATATAATAGCATTTTAGATCGTCACGAGAAATTTCTTCATAGTCAATCTTGGTTCCTGCCAAATCATTAAGTTTTTCAACATCATGCTCACAAGCTATACTTTCAGGTCCTGTTAATGTAACGATAATTGATTTTTCATCCTCGATGACGATATTTTTGGAGTTTTTTAATAAAGAAGCAAACAGTTGTTGGTTTTGTTGTTCAGTATGAGGCAAGGCAGCAATAACTTTTGCCAAAACTTTTCCAATATCGACTAAATCGATTGGTGAATACTTGTGTTGTTGTGCGTCCAATGTTAATTTGATTTTAACCTCGGCGTCAATCATTGGTTTAAAAAAAAGAAATTTTGATACAACAATGGCAATCTATACATTATTATATCGTCGCGTGAGTATGTAATCACATTCTTTACATATAAAATCATATGCATCTTTTTACCTCATAATACCAATTTTTTCAAGATTTTGTTTCAAATTTCTTTAAAAAGTTTCAAAGCAGGACAATCAGAGTCTGCTTCGATTATCGAAATTAGACTGACATGTTTAGCCTTAACTTTTTTAAATGACTGGATCATTTTATCGGCAAATTCGACTTTTCTTTTGTCGGATTCAGTGAAGAACATAACACCATCTAATTCACCAGAGAATGCCTTGTCTAAAATTTTTGCTTGTCATAATCGATCAGATGAATCTCGGCACCTAAATCTTTCAAATCTTTTAGAAGCTTTTCATTTTGATGTTTTGCAATTGCACGAAGCACCTTTATATTATCGCGATGATTATAAAGTAAATCATGAGCTAATGAATGACCAATGTATTCATCGGTGGCAGTAATTGCTATCGAAGATTTACGTTTTTGTTCGTCTTTAACAATGGAAGAAGAAACATTCATAAAATTAGTGGAAAACATTTCGTGATAATAATAATAACAATAATAATTAGATAATGAGAGAGAAGTTATCAGCGTGTCAAAGAAAGTAAGGGACGAATTAATTCACGTTGTTTTATATTTGTTTTTAAACTCGATTTCAAATTTAATCAAATCATTATTAATATTATGCTCAATTATTTTGAGATTTTATTATTCATTTATATAAATAATAAAGTTAATTTGTGTAACACTAATGATTTAGAAAAATAAATTTTTTTTTGCAACAGTCGAACAAACAAACAATATATAACAAAATAAATTTCAAGTCATATAATTCATCATTCAAATAACATATTAAAATATAAATAAAAAACATGTCAATTTTACCAATTACTTCACCAAGGAATTCGTTTAATGAGGATGTTTATCCATACAAGCGAAGATCTAGTTATTGGACAGCATCTATTCCTATATTTTTAAGACGTTTATTTAGATTTCCACAGATGGTAATAGTATGTTTTTTTAAAGGTGTTTTATTAAAATATTTACTTATTTTATTAATGTTTCACACAAGTATTAATTATAGATAATGAATTTAATTTTAACAAGGAAAAAAATAATTAACAATGTATTTTTTTTTCCTTAATAAAAATTAGGATTTTGAAATTGCATTGTGGCAAATGTTTTATTTATGTATATCACCTAGGAGAGTGTGAGTAATAATTGATAATTTAGATTTATAAGTTCGTGAATAACAATAATAATTTAGAATCTAATAATGTTAAATTTTAATTATTATAGATATAGAAATATTTATTATCATAAGCGTAAGTTATTTTTTAGGGAATAAAAAATATATATCAAGATCATCAAATTAGAAGTGGAAGTGGAAGATTAAAGAACAATATTAATTGATTTAATTGATTTAATTAAATTAGAGACAAAAAATCAATGGGCGAGAGATGATCCAGCATTTGTTGTAATTTTATCATTTCTATTAGGAAGTAAGGAATTATTTCTCGATCAATTAATATTGATATTAATATCCATCACCTTCAAATATTCACAACATCTCTTAAATATTTGATTTATATAGTATCAGCTATTGCATGGGGAATTGTATATGGACATGGAATTGTTGGAATCTTTAAAATGATAGCTTTCATGGTTTTTGTAGATTTTGTAATTGTTGGATTATTTATTTCATCAGTTTGTTGGTAATTAGAATATGGCTCATTTTAATTATATTTAATATTAATTATAATAATAATTTTTTAATCATCTAATCACTATTTAATAATATCACCGTTAAAAATTATTATTATGTAACAGGTTATTTGCTAATAGATTTCTCACACATAAACGAACAATCCACGCTGTAGAACAGTCAGTTGAATGGGCATATGCATTTGATGTGCACTGCAACTCATTTTTTCCATTATTTTTGATTTTATATGTTGTTCAATTCTTTCTTATGAGAATTCTGGTAAAACATATTTGGATTTGTTTATTCCTTGGAAACACCATGTATCTAATTGCTGTAAGTTATTACTGTTATATAACATTCCTTGGATATAATGGTAAGTGATTGGGCAAAGATTTGGTGATTGGCGATTAATGATTGAATATTTTTCAAAAATAATCAATTTTACTTATTTACTCAATTTTTTTGTAGCACTTCCGTTTCTTCTGCACACAGAAATGTTTTTATATCCAATAGCAATATTTTTTATTTTTTATATTATTTCTTTATTTGGATTCAATATTAGTGCTAATGTATTAATATTATATTTTGGAAGTCATTGAAAATAATTTATATTATAAAAAAAAAGATTATTATTTTATTTTTATTTTTTGTAAATTATTAATTAATCTTATAAGTTATAAAGTTTTTGTTTTATTTTTTGTATAAATTTTTTTTGAAGACTAATCATTATTATATTAGAGTTTAAAGAACATTCATTTATTTAAAAATTATTATATTTTTATTATATTTAAATTTACTAAATGTTAATATAATAGATTAATTATCCTTTAACTGTTGACGAAATCAAAAAAAAATTTTTAAATATAATAATATAATATAATAAATTAGAAAATATGAAACGAGTAAATAGACTGTTACAACACTTATTAAAAAGTAAATTACAAAAAAATAATATCCACATTACTATTTCATGTGAATTATACTATTTTTTAGATATAACAATAAGGTGTGTTTATGAAATATATATATTTACTTGCATAATTATAATTTACATGCATGATGCATTCAAGCATCCAAATTAATTTGATTAGAATCTATAATAGATGTATTGATATTGCCAATTTTAATATTGATATTATTTAATTAAAAAAATTATAATTAAATTAAATAAATAATTACCATTATCATTTCCAATGATTGTGACTTTATTGGAGTTTGCAGGCTGAGGAAGATTTGTAAATTAAATGGTCTGCTGATATAAATAGCATTTAAAGGGTCATATTTAATCTTATTCATTTCATCAAATATTTTTCTAATTGGTTTTTCTTTTCTGGATCCAGATAAGTGAAATTTAATGTTTGAAATAAATAACAAGTACAATTCTCTATTATTTTTAACAATTCAACTAATTCATTTAATAAATTGTTAATTCTAATCAGCTGGAAATTTCCATTGATCAATTCATTCAATTTGGTAATGAGTTTATTTAATAGTTTGTATGGGTCCATTCCTCCTTTTTTATGTAAAATATAAGATTGAAAAAAAATAAGTTTTTTTGCGATATGTATATTTAATAAATCCTATTACAGTAACTAATTCTCAGGAAGGTAAAATATTTAATACTTTTGCAAAATATTTAACAGGCTGAATCATTATTAAATCTTTCATCAACTGAAATTGAAAATGTATAACACCAATTTTCATGTAGTGATATTTTAATTATTTGATTTATTATTTGATAATAAAGTTTAAATGAAATAGATAATTTGAATCAAACATGGGTATAGATCATTTAATTTATGATCTACTCAATCCTGATGAATATACATGCTAGTTATTAATTTATGTAAAAATTCATTATTGTTATCAATTACACCCATATATAAAAAAAGGCATTGATTCAGCAAAAATAATCATTTGATCAAACCACTGAGCATATTCTTCAAAGTTTTTGGCATATTGGATGTCTTATGAAGGTATTTCTGAATCATGTTCACCCTTGAATAGTCGGGCTGACTCAATTGCACCCAACTTGATGTTTTGTTCCACACTATTGTGAGATCAAAATCCGCGTCTCACACAAATCTCTTGGATTTGGTTAAACTAATATTTATTTCGTTTTATGGCAGTATCCGGTTATGTAATTTTTTGATTACTTTCTCTTACTATATCGCTCAAACTATTTAACTATGTACAGGGCAAGTTTCCTTATTTCACTTCCAGTAACGTTTTCTCAGCAGTTCTTTCCCTTGAGTATTGTATTTTCATAATTATCGAGAATAAAAATAATAGAAGGAAATTCTTTGACTATAATTATGGTTTGGCCAACCTTTAATATATATCAGATCAATAAAATTAA